ACAAGCGCTGACAGGTCACGGATGTTTTAATTCGTACCTGCAGCGTTTTAAGAAGAGAGAGAGTGAGGCGTGTGCTTACTGCCAGTTCCCTGTGGACAACGCAGAGCACACCCTCTTTGCCTGCAGTCAATGGGACTTGAAGAGGCAGGCCATGTTTACCGGTGTAAACGCTACAGTTACACCGGAGAACATGGTAGCGCTGATGATCCAGTCCCAGGAAAACTGGCGGCTCATCGAGACCTTTATCATCTCTGTTATGATGAGAAAGGATCTCGATGGCCGCAGAAAGGCGTAATTAACAGTGTACAGTATTTATTTATTTTATTTATTTGTTCATTTTATTATTTATTTTGTCCTTTTATTGTCTTTTTACAAATTTCTGTTTTTATTTATTTTAGTCTTTTTACACTTTTTTGTTAAATTTTGTTTGTTCATCTGTCTTTTTACAATTTTATTTTTGACTTTTGTTTAATTTACTTTTATTTTATTTATTGACTTTTTATTGTTTTCTTTTCTGGTGTGCTGTTGATTCCGCTTGACATAGATTTCCGTTTTATTTTAGAATTGGTAACGCAGGATGTCCGCAGGAATGGACGAAGTCGCTTTTGCGACAGAGTTGGAGCGCCACCCTCGAAGGCAAAAGTCTTCACGACAGTACCGATGGTGGATAAAAGGGCTCCAAAGAAGGGTTGACGGGTTTTTAGTGGGTCGGGGCTGGTAGTAGTTCGCCAGCTTATTTTGTTTAGTGTTCTCCTTTTTTTTTACCAACCCCACATAACCTTGGCATGCGGAAGCCAAGGTATCTGTATACAGATTTCCCAATAGTCCCTAAGCAAAAAAAAAAATAATAGTAATAATAATAATAATACTAATAATAATGATAATAATAATACGTATAATAATAATAATAATAATACTTTAGGTAGTTCCCACTATTCGGGATATACCTGAAATTTCCAGCCGTCTATCAGTCACATGCGTTTTAACATTCTTAACGACGATATAGCTTCTTTTCTTTTATTTTACCGACAGTGTATTTTAAAAAAATTTTTTTAAAAAATTGAAATAACTGTCCGCAACAAGAAACGCAAGTCTTCTAAGTTTTTTTTTAGTGTTCTCTTTTTTTTTTACCAACCCCACATAACCTTGGCATGCGGAAGCCAAGATATCTGTATCTGATTTTCCCAATAGTCCCTAAGCAAAAAAAAAAAAAAAAAAAAATGAATTATAATCGATAATAATTATTAATATATTATAATAATAATAATAAAATAATCAATTAATATTAAATCAAATATTTTAAGCCATCGACTAAAGGAAGATTATTTTTCAGGTATTTAAAATAAATAATTAAAAAAAATTTTTGACATTTATTTTGATAATATTTCTTTTTGTCATTTTCTAATTTTTTAAACTAAGCATTCTAATTAACTTCAAAAATACATTTAAAAAATTTAACATCTATGTTAAATTTTTTAAATGTATTTTTGAAGATAATTAGAATGCTTAGTTTAAAAAGAAATTAATTTCTAAATTTTTAAAAAATATTTTTTAATTTTGTAATAATTTTTTATAATTATATTTTATTCTTTAAATATATTTTTAAAATTGTTTATTTGTGAAATTTAAAGAAAATTTAAGACAGGTTTAAATAAAAAGGGTTTAATAGTAACCTATATTTTTTGGGAATTTATAAAATTAAAAAAAATTTCAATTTTGTGGTAATTTTTTATGATTAAATTTCCTTTTTTAAATAATAATTTGTATTGTCTTATAAAATTGTATATTTTAGAAAAATATTTTTTAATTTTATGATGAAATAATTTACATACATTTAAGAATTTTACATTATTGAATTGACATAACTTGAATTTTCGATGTAAAATTTAAAAAAAGTAATTTTTAATTAAAACGAGGTTTAATATTAAACTAAATTATTTAATGCCTTTTTAAAAATATGTTTTTATTCAGTAATAATTTTTAAATTAATTTTTAAAATTCTAAAAAAATATTTTTTAATTTTGTTATAATTTCTTATTACTATTTATAGTATCCTTATTTATAAGGACGGAAACAAAAATAATATTACCAATTACCGACCAATACATATTTTAAACACTATTTCCAAAATATTTGAGAGCATCATTCATGATGATCTTTATAGTCAGTTGGAGTCATCAATTATTGAGGAGCAGCATGGTTTCATGAGGGGCAGATCAGTTTTGACAAATATGAGTCTTTTTTCTAATTTTGTACTTAATAGCTTAGATAAGGGTATACAAGTTGATGTGGTCTACACAGATTTTGCCAAAGCTTTTGACAAAGTTGATCATGGTATTCTCTTGGCGAAGCTTGAAGCTCTGGGTTTTTCTTCTAATTTACTCAAGTGGGTTACAAGCTACCTTCAAAATAGAACTTTATCAGTACGTGTAAATTATGAGTATTCTAACATTTTTATTGCTACATTTGGTGTCCCACAGGGCTCAAATCATGGACCTCTATTTTTTATACTTTTTATCAATAACATAAACTTAATATTTAAATTTTGTAAATTTTTATTATTTGCTGATGATTTGAAATTATTTATTAAAATATTCAATGTTAGTGATTACATGCAATTGCAATATGATCTTAATCAACTTCAGTCTTGGTCTGGAAAAAATAAACTTTTTCTAAACATCAATAAATGTAAAGTAATATCATTTTCTAAAACCTCAAATATCATCATTCAAAATTATACTATAGATGACAGTAAACTTTCTAGAGTGTCCTTGATACGTGACCTTGGGATAATGATTAACGATTCATTTTCTTACATTGATCACATTACTCAAACAATTAATAAGGCTACCAGAGCTTTGGGTTTCGTTATTAGGAATGCAAGAAGTTTTCGTAATTTAACAGCATTGAAAACTCTTTATTTTGCTCTTGTCAGGCCCATACTTGAATTTGCCTCAGTATTGTGGAGACCATATCAAGATTACCTGATAGTTGATATTGAACGTGTTCAGAATAGATTTTTGCGTTTTATAGCTGGACAAATTGGTATGCCTGTAGATTACCAGAATCATGATTACACAGACTTGCGTGAGGCATTTAAAATACCATTATTATCTCAAAGATTTATGTATGCTGACTTATTATTTTTGTTCAAAATTATTAACGGTATTATTAACTGCTCAGAACTTTTACTTTTATTTGGTTTTCATATACCACAAAGACCTGCAAGACATCCACAATTATTTAATGTTCCTTTTTGCAGAACTGACTATTTAGATAATTCTGTAATTAACAGACTACGTAGGGAGGCAAATCAGTTCAATAGTAATGTCAATTTTTTTGGTATTTCTTTAAACTCTTTCATAAGAGAACTTCGTAACCTATTGTACGATAATAACAACAATAATGTTAATGCGGCCAACTGAATTTTTTAATTGTTATAAAATTTCTTGTTATAGTACTTTGTACGAATGGGTTCTACCCGTATACATTCAATAAATAAATAATTATATTTTATTTTTAAAACATATTTTTAAAATTGTTTATTTGCGACATTTAATAAAGTTTAATACAGGTTTAAATAAAAGGGTTTAGTAGTAACCTATATTGTTTTGAGCATTTATAAAATTTAAAAAAAAATTTTAAAAATTAGGAGGAGGTTAAAACATGAAGGTTAAAAAACCTCCACGTGGTATATCTTGGTAACAAAATCATTGAAATGCTTTTATATAAGCATTCAATATATATATTTAATTTAAATAAATTTGAAACAGAAAGAAAATGATCAAATTAGTTTCAATGAAATTGGCTAAATACCAGTCTATTTGTATATATAGCTTAGAACATAAAACTTCTTAAATAATGTTTCTTTTTAAGAAATAAGGAATCTAAAAATGAAAAAAGGTAATAGAATAATGATGCTGTTTGAAAAATTTGGTTTGAGAATTATCAAAACAAGGCTTAAACGAAATCAAATTAATCATGGTAATCTGTTAGAGATATAAAACATTTAAAATCATTAATTACGAAGTTGATAAAGAAAAATAAAAGGTTAGTATATTTTTAGTATAGTGTTTTTTAGAGTTAAAATTTTAAACAATTTTAAAATTTAACAAATTTGTGAATTTTTTTTGAGCACATTAAGGGATTACACCACTTTGACCCGACCAAAAAATAAGCTTTTTCAACAATTTTTAATGAAGAACAGAATTTTTTTTAAGAAAATTGAAATACAGTAAGGTATATTATACCACTCTTGAACTGCAAAAAAATATTTTTTTTAAAAAATGTCGGTTTGACAGATGATATGGCAAAGTGCTTCAAAAATGTATCACCGTGCGGTGGGCACTATAAATCGGTCCATATTTAAGCTAGATCAAAATAAAAAAAAAGCATTAGTTTCTACTACTAAAAATCTAGCAAAATACGTGTCCGTTTTGAAAAAAATGAATTTTTCGCAAAATGGCATCGATTTGAAGGAAAAAGTGCTTATTTTTTCCTAAATTTCGTTACTTAAATTTGTCTAGAATAATTAAATATTAATATTTCAAAAAATCCATACGTTTTTCGCATTAAAAACACAGTGGGATGTTAAGGATCTATGTTTACATACAAAGGGTTAAAACTCTCTGTATCCTTCGATTTTTTTTTATTTAAAAAAAATTCTTTCTTTTACAAACATTTTAAGCTATGTCGGATAAGGAGGAAAAATTTTTTTCAATATTTTCGGAATATTGAATTTCTTTAAATCTTGTAAACAGTTAAAATTTTTTTTTAATATGGCACTCTTTTTGGTAGAAATACAAAAATTTTAGCCAAATCGTAACTGTCTAAGTCAGCTTTTATATTCGAATAGCGTGGATACCGGTAAAATACACATATATAATTAACAATAGATTTATCGATTAAAGGTTGACAAGGAAAACTTGTGTGCTAAAAAAACAACAAATATAAACAAAAAAATATGCAAATTTTTTTTGTACAAAATGATTCAGTCTTACCTAGGTATCTTCCTTCGTTATGAATTTCCAACTTCCATATACCATGAGGCCTCTCACCCCAAGTGTGCACAGACATAAATGGCCACTGGTTAAAGCCAGCTTTTGAAAAGTCATGAGGCCTTTTTGCTAGTAAAATGCTTTTAGTACCTTGTGGCGAAGTCAAATAAATCTCCAAGTCCCCCCTTCTTGAAGCCGTCAGAGACACTTTAGCCTAATATTAAATTAATAGTTTAGATGTTAACATTTTATTTTACGAAATAATGATTTATTTTTTATAAATATAACAAATAAATTTTGCTTTGCAATATTGACACAATATTGTTCCAATGTGTTGTTCTGTTTGCGTATAAAGTCGTTTTTCTAGAACTTTTAAACTTTTTTTTAACTCAACTTAAAAAATTCTCTTCGTGCAAAAAGTAAAGCAATGAGCTCTATAATGGAAACTCATTGTTTTTATTACTTTTATATTTTTTATGGATAGTGTAGATGTTAACGATTTTCCTTTATACTTTTATAATATAAAAGTAGATATTACAAGAAGATTAAAGTGTTTAGAAGCTAGATTAAAGATGTGCTATTAAAAAATTTGTTTTTTTGAAATGTGTTATGTTTGGAATTTTAATCTTTAACGTTATTGTAATCTTAATGTATAGGTGGCACAGATTTCTGTAATGGTTCAAATTACTTCTTATTGTATAAATAATGTGCTCGCGTTCTTTGGTTTTTTAAAAACCAATGTTAAAAAAGTTATCTTAAGTTGATTGGTAAATTTGAAAATGTAAAAAAAAAATTTCGCGCAAGTTTGCACAGTGGTCCTCAAGCATCGACAGGTTCGACTAAAATGGATCCAAAAATTGACTGAACAAGCTTTTAAAAGACTATTCGTAGATGTAAAAACTGGTTTTCATAAAATCCTAGCTGATCGTTTTCTCGAAAAAACTCAAAATTAAGTTTCACGAAATGTATTTTTAACATTGTATTATATACTGTTCAATAATCAACAATTATATCTTTAATGTTCTTTGGTAAACCATTTTAGTGCACAGTACGTACTCACTAAGCATTAATATATTTGACTTATAGTAAAATAAATACAAAAGCTTGTAGAATAGCTCATTAGATTACTCTTTATAGACGCTAAAACGACTTTGTCTGAAATCAAAACCAATTTTTTTCGAAATATTTTTAAACTGCGTTTTACAATAATTTTTTATATTTTAAGATTACCATTATGCTTAACTTATCATTTAAGCTTTATTTATCTATTTATATTTAAGTTGAAATTCCATTCATTCATCCATTCATATCAATGTATTTGTGCATTAGTTTAGTAACGTTTTGTAACAACTGACTGATTAACTTATTGCTTGTGCTCAAGACCAATTGCTTTTTCTCTATTTTAAAATGAGTTCACATGAGGAGAACAGGAAGAAAATATGTGCACCTTGCGGTCAGAAAATTGCTTTTAAAAAGGTTAAACCAGAAAAGTTTCTTATAAACAAAAAGTTCACTAATTTAATTAAAAAACTTATCAACAATAGTTTTAATTTAAATGATGAGAAATTTTTATTAAGCATTTGTAGAATATGCTATCTTACTTTTCTTGATTACGAAAAAAGTATCTTTAAAAGGCCAATTTAAATTAAAATTATTGTTGATAAATTTTTTAATTACATAAATTAGTTAACTTTTTGTTTATAAGAAACTTTTCTGGTTTAACCTTTCTAAAAGCAATTTTCTGACCGCAAGGTGCACATATTTTCTTCCTGTTCTCCTCATGTGAACTCATTTTAAAATAGAGAAAAAGCAATTGGTCATGAGCACAAGCAATAAGTTAATCAGTCAGTTGTTACAAAACGTTACTAAACTAATGCACAAATACATTGATATGAATGGATGAATGAATGGAATTTCAACTTAAATATAAATAGATAAATAAAGCTTAAATGATAAGTTAAGCATAATGGTAATCTTAAAATATAAAAAATTATTGTAAAACGCAGTTTAAAAATATTTCGAAAAAAATTGGTTTTGATTTCAGACAAAGTCGTTTTAGCGTCTATGAAGAGTAATCTAATGAGCTATTCTACAAGCTTTTGTATTTATTTTACTATAAGTCAAATATATTAATGCTTAGTGAGTACGTACTGTGCACTAAAATGGTTTACCAAAGAACATTAAAGATATAATTGTTGATTATTGAACAGTATATAATACAATGTTAAAAATACATTTCGTAAAACTTAATTTTGAGTTTTTTCGAGAAAACGATCAGCTAGGATTTTAAAAAAACCAGTTTTTACATCTACGAATAGTCTTTTAAAAGCTTGTTCATTCAATTTTTGGATCCATTTTAGTTGAACCTGTCGATGCTTGAGGACCACTGTGTTTGAAGGTATATAATTTTGTTCCTAGGTAAGGCACATCATTGTCTCAAGGATTTTTCAATTGTTTACACTCGCATATACTTCTACCAAAAGTTACAAACCATAAAAATAATTTTTAAAAATATTATAATGCTTAAACTGCAAAAATACTGCCAGTGTCACACACAAGTAACAGTCAAATTCACCACTTTTCTTTACTCTCAATTTTTTCTACATTATTATAATGATTTTTTAACACTTGCAACATGTAAAGCGAACAAACATTTGTTAAAATTTGGTGTTGCAAAATAATTTTTATAATTTTTAAGGTATCATAATGAGCTACAACATAAAGTTTAAAAGTTCTGGAAAAATTCGCATAAATATGAGTTTAAATGGGGACCTTTATGGCCAAACTCATTTTCAGTCAGTATACAGCAGCACTACTGTAATATTCTATAGCGCAAAATTTTAAATCGTATTTGTTGCATGATATTAAATAAACAAAATATAAAATGTTCTGGTTTATGTAAAGGAAAAATAAAATCATTAAATAGGAAATAGTGACTATAATAAAATATGAGGAGACGCATAAATTTTCTCCAAATTTTAAATGACCAAAAACTTAATTGACGTAAAGTAGTATGAACTAATTACACTAATTACACGAATCTCAAGTCCGTTTTACTCCTGCACATGTACGTTTCTTCCAAACCTCAAAAAACATTTCACATTTTCTTTAAATTGATGGATTTATATGAAACCGGGCGTTTAGGGGTTTTGAGATCTCTGATTACTAATCTGATGTCAGATTTTGAAAATTCAAAATGGCGGATCCAATATTGTGGACAAATTTTTAAAAATTAATAATTTTTTAGAAATTTTTTAAAAAATTGTTGGATTTTTATGGAATTTGTTACTTGGGGGTTTTTGGGGTTGCTGGTTAAGAATTTGAAGTTAGTTTTTCAATTTTCAAAATGGCGGATCCATTATGGAGGGACGAATTTTTTAAAAATTGTTGGATTTTTATAAAACTTTATATAAACTCAACCTGGACCGTCGGCTTTAGCACTACCCGATGTACAATACGAGGAGGTGCCCTGGAGGCAGACACAGGTAAGGCACGGTTTGCCGGAAGGGTGTTTAGTAAAAATTGTCGTGCACATCTGATTTTCTTTTTGTAAATGGTAGTTCGAGGTTGGAAGTTAGTCTAATTGTTAGACTTACATAGAAACTAATTGATTGATCTATATATTTTACCTAAATTTATAAAATTAATCGATATTTTTAAAGTCAACAAAACGTAAATAAATTCGAAATAAATTATTCGAAAGAACTTAAGAAAAAGAAAAATCTGTGAAGTAACAAAAACTTCTTCAGGAAATGCAAAATCGAAATTAAAAAAAATTTAATTAAAAGTATTAAAACAAAATTTTTTTTATATAAATTAAATGAAATATTTTCTGCGAGAAAGCATAATGTTCGTGAAATGAACTTCACATTTATGTAATATAAATGTCCACCCCTTCTTGTTTTGTAAATGGTACTTTGGGATACAAGGAAATTAGTGCAATAATTTTTAACGTCTAAATCAAATAACCCACCCCTTAAAACAACATAAAATCAATAAAAGTGTGAAAAAATCTGTTTTTACATGAAAAAACATAAATAGAAAAAAATTATTAATTTTTATTTAAATAACATAAATTTTAATGATAAATACAAAGTGTAATTATTGAAAAAATTAGCAATGTCGATTGATGTTAAAAAACATACATTAATATCATTAATTTCACTTGATGTGGCGAGCGTTGTATACAATTTTCAAGCCGATCTGAATGATTTTCATTTTTTGTCTGTCATACTAAATCCGCTATTATGAATTTTGAGAATCTAACTTCTGATTCGTAATAAAAGGCCCATAAAACCCCTAAGTAACAAATTTCATAAAAATCCAACAATTTTAACAAAAAATTCTAAATAATGATAATTTTCATAACATTTGTCTGCCAAATTGGATCCGCCATTTTGAATTTTTAAAATCTGACATCAGATTCGTAATCAGTGACCTCAAAAATCTCTTAACACCCAGTTTCATATAAATCCATCAATTTAAAAAAAATCTTATTCTTATGTGAAATGTTTTTTGAGGTTTGGAAGAAACGTACACGTGCAGGATCAAAACGGACTTGAGATTCGTGTTCAGCGGTCAAAATACATGGGGGTAGGATACTTTGATCTCCTACCCCGGGCACTTTTTTGTGTGGCTGCATGCAATCAGACTTTAATTGAACTGTTTGTATGCGCACTACACCGCAAATAGGAAAAAGCCATTTTTACCGTTTTTGCAATTTTGACTGCTTTAAACTTCCAAAAGGACAATTTGAACCTTAAATTCATAATCAGCGAGTAAAAACACGTTTAAAAAAGCTGTACCGACATTAATTGAACTGTTTATCTGCGCTTTACACCTCGAACAGACAAAAAAATGCCAATTTTTAGATTTTTTTGCAATTTTAACGACTTTAAACTCACCAATCAACAACGTTGACCCTGAATTCATAATTAGCGAGTAAAAATACGTCTGAAGAAGCAGCACCGATATTGTTCGAATTGTTTGTCTGCGTTCTGCAGACATAATACGTCATGTTCGCACCGCGAACAGACATAAAAATGCCTTCTACTTTATTATTATTAATAATTTTATTTTACATATCATAATTTCCGTATTCATTCATTTATTCCGTCTGTCCGCACTTGTAGTTAGTTGTTTTGCGTTTATTTTGTTTTTCTAAAATTTTGACAATTCTCAATTTCGTAATATTTTATAGTTAACATGACTATC